TATGAAGCATAACATTACGATGACATATGCTGTCCCAATTCTTATGGGTACATCTGAAGCCCTTCCCTTTAACTTTTGGTTGTAGGGGCCAAGGGGAAGGGGTAGGGGTACAAAAATAGAATTGGGATTGGGCCTAAATCAGTTTTCATTTTTTGGTTGAACTTTAAGGGGCAGGACCCTTAAAAATGCTGTCATTAAGCTGTTTTTTTAAGCCTTGTTGAATAAATGCATTTGAGACAGTGATTTACCGTTACTGATTTATTTATCTACCTATCTATCTCTCCCTCAGTCTGTCTGTCTGTCTATCCATTAGCTAGTCCAGTTAAACACCAACTGTCCTCATAGTCCAGTGTTAATAATGTGTGTCGGTGTGTATGAGTAGAGTCCAGTTTAACACTAACTGTCCTCATAGTCCAGTGTTGGCAATGTGTGTCGGTGTGTATGAGTAAAGTCCAGTTAAACACTAACTGTCCTCATAGTCCAGTGTTAGTAATGTGTGTCGGTGTGTATGAGTAAAGTCCAGTTAAACACTAACTGTCCTCATAGTCCAGTGTTAGTAATGTGTGTTGGTGTGTATGAGTAAAGTCCAGTTAAACACTAACTGTCCTCATAGTCCAGTGTTAGTAATGTGTGTCTGTGTGTATGAATAAAGTCCAGTTAAACACGGAATGTCCTCATAATGCAGGATTGTTGCTGTGTGTTTGTAACACTCATGGCTGTCCTCATAATGCACGATTGAGTCAGAAACGCCCACTTTTGCCCTGTCCCCACAACGTTGTAGAATGTCAGGTCTTAATATTTCCAGACTCTTTCACAATAATGAAATTCTGAATAGACAGAGTTATTCCCCATGCAATATGGAGAAGATTCATATATTTTACTAAACTGTAAGACAAAAGGAAAGGTGGGTCCCCATATCCCATGATGGTACTTTTTTAGGAAAAAAGTCCCAATAAACCACCCGTACCAGTATGTGTGTGTGTGTGTGTGTGTGTGTGTGTGTGTGTGTGTGTGAAGCACACTTGGCAATAAAATTTATTCTGATTCTGACTTTTTATAGCAAATAACTCATATAATAACTAATAACTAATTCAAGGCAGAATGATAATGAGAAATGTTATTCATTGTTAGTACTATTGTCATCTTCACCATCATTAATATTTTAGAATTATTTGACAATCCTTTTGGAATTATTGTGCAAATATCAATAAATAATCACAGCATTACTTATATAGTTGTTTCTGATTTTTGTTAGTTCTAATTGATGTTTTTTAGAAATACAAAAAATTTGTTAATATACAAGTTGCAGTGGTACTCACTAATATTTGGTGGGTGCTCCAAAATTTTTGAAGTTGGGAGCACCGGCAATTTCAAGCCGTTTTTCAAAAAAACAAATAGTTTTTTTATTTATTCATTTTTTTTTTTATTATTCTGTCATTTATTAACAGAGTAAAATTATTTCTATTTAAAAGTCAAAAACATTCACTTATTTTTAAGCACAAAAAGAGAAACTTACTATTGTTTGTTTTTTATATTATTTTGTGCTGTATTAATTAGTTACTGAGCAGCAATAAATAACAATGTGAAATAAAAGTTTTCATCTTATTTTCTAAACTAGTAGGGTTTGAAATGAATTAATGCATAATAATCGTAATAACCATAAAACCGTGATTATTTCTCAGATTATAATCAAACAATCAAAATCTATAATCATTGCATCTCTAGTTCTATGTTACATGCTCCATTTAACTGTTATCGATAGTTATTGAGTTATAGCCCTTGGTTATGAATGAATTCTACAGAATGTTTGTGAAATACTTAACGTTTGGTATCAATTAAAAACTGGGAATGTTTTAAATGCATTGGTTTATATGAAGAAACCATACGATAAAAAAGTCCATGTTATAATACCTTAATTTAACAACTATCCTATCAAAGCGGCACACACACAATATGCCAACCCGGCCTCCTAGAGGAGGGAATGGGGTGTGATCCAACCCCACACATTCTCTGATTGGACAATCCATGTGTAGGCCCAGCCTATACCAATGCAAACAAGGGAAAATTTCTTTGTCATCATAACTCATTTCTAATAATGAAGTTCTCATAATATTTGACTAGATATTATCCAAGATACTAGTATTTAGCTTGAAGTGACATTCAAGGGGTTAATTAGTGCAATTAGGCAAGTCAATGTATAACAGTAGTTTATTCTGCAGACAATCAAAAAAAATATATTGCCTAAGGGGGCTAATAGAATGGAGCAAATAAAATAGGTTTCACAAATATTTAAACTTGATTTTATTCTAGCTGAAATAAAAAAACAAATAAGCCTTTCTCCAGAAAAAAATATTATAGGAAACACTGTAAAATAAATAATTGGGAAATATTTATATATAAAAATAAATTTACAGAAGGGAGAATAATTTTGACTTCAACTGATAATCGTTTTGAATAATTATGATTACAATTATGACCAAAATAATCATGATTATGATTTTTCCCATAATCGAGCAGCCGTAGGTTAAGTGTAAGCTTTGAATAAGAGGATGCCCATCCAGCTACAACCCATAAGGGTTGGGTACCGAAACCCTTGGTAACCGGTATGTATCGGTATTAAATCAGCGTATGAATTTCGGTGCCTAATTTTAGTGCTACGGCAAGGACATGTGAAGCATCAAAGGGGTGCATAAAAAAAAGGCAAGGATTCTGACACAGCAACGTGCTTTACAAAAGCTGCGTGTAAGGGGGGAATATGTCAGACTTAAAGACACATTTGAGGGCTCAAAAAGAAAGAGGATCGCCTCTCTCGCAAGGTGTCGCTCCCTCGGGCACTCGCTTATGCCCACTCCCTGTTTTTGAGGCACTTTGCTCTCTCTGTGAAGGTGCTGCGTGCATCAGTTCCCCGCATTGGTCAGAAGTTGACGCCCAAATTGACACAGGTAATAAAAAGATTGAACTTCAGTCATGTTCATGTTGTGAAACACTATCAAAATGTCTACTGTTGATGATATTAGACTTCAGTTTTCAATAGCGATTTTAACACTGTTAATATAGGATGTCCTCGGCTATGCAGAGACCATTATCAATCAGAAATCTAGTGTACATAGTTTTACGTTAGGAAATGCAGTGTTGAATTTACAAACAGTCGGCAAGAACCAAAGAAAGAACAGATGTAACACATTGATCAAATATAGTTTTCAGTCATGCTCATGTACGTCATATTCAACTCGTTTAGATTTACATTTATTCATTTTTGATTTCCGTCTTCAACACAGGATTTATTTACAACACATTTTTAATTAAACATAATAGTTTTACTAACTAATTTCTAACATCCACTGTTTTATCTTCCCCATGTTGACAGTCAGTGTATAACATTTTACTAGTTATTTTGCAAGACTGTTGTATTCAGACAAAGTCCCTTTAAGTATTTTATAGTTTTTTTTAAATTTAGATTAAAGTGTAATTTAGACTTAATCAGTTAACTACGAAAGTTGAAAAAATTAGTCAAATTATTTTGTAACTGATTTGTTGTGTAAATTAAAAATATACAGTAAATATTTCCTAAGTAGGCTAATAATACTGACCTTATTTTTATTTAAATTAAAAATTGATTTATTCACAAAATAAACAATAAGAAATATGACTTATTACGACTCCAGAATAATTATTT